TGAGCACACTGAAGGCCAGCAGTGGGACAAGGAGCCTGTGTGTGACAGCACCAAAGTTGTATCTAAGGCCCTGCCGTATTTGGTCCGCTGTTGTGCCCATCAACGAGATAATGAATAAAGCCAGGTTCAAAAACGCTCCTGGAAAGTCAAGATCCCGATTTTAGCAGCTTTTCCCACCTCCACGTTGCAGGAATTCATGGGTCTGCTGGATAGGGAATGTTCATCCCAAATTTTCTGCCCACTTCTCTAGGAACACTCTAATGACAGTGGTGATGTTGTGATTCAGTCTTCTCAGGTTTTTTGGGATATTTTTTGGGGATTTTCTGGGATCCAAGGAGAGAGCAGGACACAATCCAGATCTTGAAAATCCCATATAGCACTGGAAATGAGGAGAACTCGGTGGAAACAAGCACAAAGGAACTGGAAAAAAAAGAGTTTTTAAGTAGGAAAAATGGGGAAAAACGCGATGCTTTGTTTTAATTAAACAGTCGGATTCCCCAGGTCTGCACCAGTTCTAAGCCGGCTGCTAGGCGCCAACCAAGGCAGGGCGCCCGCCCGGGGACTCCGCCCAGGGACCCTCCCCCGCGTGAACCGCTCGGCTGATGCTGGCCGCGGCCGCACGCGTGCTGGCCGCACGCTGCGGGGACCCTGCTGGCGGGAACCGACGGGGCGGCGGCGTGCAATGACGACGGCGGCAGCCGCCGCTGGGGTGCTGGCTGCGGCAAGGTGGAGGCTGGGCAGAGGGGGGGGGCGGGTGGAGCCCGCCGCAGGCGGCGCAATCCACGGGAAGGGCCCGGCACATCCAGAGTCGACGCTGTGCGCACGCGCGCCCCGGTGCCCGGGCGGGTCACGCGGCACGCACTCACCCACACGTGGTGCCTCGTCCAGCTGCGGCATGCGCCCAGCCCCGCTTCGTGCCCCAGCCCGACCGACCCAGCCCTTAGAGCCAATCCTTATCCCAAAGTTAAGGATCCGGCTTGCCGACTTCCCTTACCTACATTGTTCCAACATACCAGAGGCTGTTCACCTTGGAGACCTGCTGCGGATATGGGTACGGTCTGGTGTGAGACTTACACCCTCTCCCCCGGATTTTCACGGGACAGCGAGAGCTCACCGGACGCCGCCGGAACCGCGACGCTTTCCAAGGCGCTGGCCCCTCTCTTGGGGCAAACTCATTCCAGGGCACCCAGCCCTTCACAAAGAAAAGAGAACTCTCCCCAGGGCTCCTGCCAGCTTCTCCGGGATCGGTTGTGTCACTGCACTGGGCGCCTCGTGGCGCCCATCTCCGCCACTCCGGATTCGGGGATCTGAACCCGACTCCCTTTCAATCCCCTGAGGGCAACAGAGGCCATCGCCCGCCCTTTCGGAACGGCGCTCGCCTATCGCTTAGGACCAACTGACCCATGTTCAACTGCTGTTCACATGGAACCCTGCTCCACTTTGGCCTTCAAAGCTCTCGTTTGAATATTTGCTACTACCACCAAGATCTGCACCTGCGGCGGCTCCACCCGGGCCCACGCCCCAGGCTTCAAGGCGCACCGCAGCGGCCCTCCTACTTGTCACAGCCTAGCCCCCGCGGGCATCGCACTGCCGGCAACGGCCGGGTATGGGCCCGACGCTCCAGCGCCATCCATTTTCAGGGCTAGTTGATTCGGCAGGTGAGTTGTTACACACTCCTTAGCGGATTCCGACTTCCATGGCCACTGTCCTGCTGTCTAGATCAACCAACACCTTTTCTGGGCTCTGATAAGCGTCAGCATCGGCTGCCTTAACCCAGCATTCGGTTCATCCCGCAGCACCAGTTCTGCTTACCAAAAGTGGCCCACTGAGCACTCACATTCCACGGTGTGCCTCCATGCCAGCGAGCCAGCCCCCTTACCCATTGAAAGTTTGAGAATAGGTTGAGATCGTTTCGGCCCCAAGACCTCTAATCATTCGCTTTACCGGGTAAAACCGCCCATTGCCGAGTGCCAGCTATCCTGAGGGAAACTTCGGAGGGATCCAGCTACTAGATGGTTCGATTGGTCTTTTGCTCCTAGACCCAGGTCGGACGACTGATTTGCACGTCAGGACCGCTACGGACCTCCACCAGAGTTTTCCTGTGGCTTTGCCCTGACCAGGCATAGTTCACCATCTTTCGGGTCCTAGCACGGACGCTCATGCTCCACCTCCCCAGCCCCGCGAGGGGGCGGCGGGCAAGACGGGCCGGTGATGCGCCCGGAGCTGCCAGGCATGACACACGCCCCGGGATCCCATTTCAGCCGGCGCGCACCGGCCCTCACCTTCATTGCGCCGCGGGCTTTTGACGACGGCCCCCGACTCGCGCACGTGCTAGACTCCTTGGTCCGTGTTTCAAGACGGGCTGGGTGCGGCCCAGCCCCCGCACCCCCGCACGAAACGCCGCGCTGCGGGGACACCGCCCCTGCCCCCCCCACCCGGGAGGGGGGGGGGGGGGGGAAAGCAACGCCCACTGCCACTGCACCGCCGATGAGGGGGGAGGAGGGCGCGGCGGCGGTCCTCTCCCTCGGCCTCGGGATTCAGCAAGACCTGCTGCCCGGGGGCTGTAACACCCACCGCCGCTCGCGCGGCGCCGGGCAACCTGCCCGCCAGAGGCCTTCTCAGCCGACCCGGAGCTGGTCGCGGCACATGGCCGCGGAGGAAATGCGCCCGGCCAGGGCCGGCCGCCGGCTGAGAGGGGGTCCCCGCGCTGGCTCACTCCCCACGGCCTGCTCCCGCGCACGGGGTACGCCCGGGGGACAGAGGGGAGGCGGAAGGCCAGGATCCGCCAAGCCTGCGCCGGCCGACCGCAATGCAACGGGTTGAATCCTCTGGGTGGACTGCGCGGGCCCCACCAGTTTACCTCTTAATGGTTTCATGCCCTCTTGAACTCTCTCTGCAAAGTTCTTTTCAACTTTCCGTTACGGTACTTGTTGGCTATCAGTCTCGTGCCGGTATTTAGCCTTAGATGGAGTTTACCACCTGCTTTGGGCTGCATTCCTAAGCAACCTGACTCCGAGAAGCCCCGGGCCCATAGCGCAGGGCTGGGCTTTTCCCTCCTCACTCGCCCTTACTGAGGGAATCCTTGTTAGTTTCTTTCCCTCCGCTGACTAATATGCGTAAATTCAGCGGGTCGCCACGTCTGATATGAGGTCACAAGCCCAAAGCTTGGCCGCGCCATGCGCGGGGGCATGCGCGGAGACAGGCGCCTTGTCTCCCCCGCCCGCTACGCTGCCCACCCCCCCTCTTCTCCGCGCTCCCGGAGGGAGGTGGAGAGAGAGACAGTGCACGCGCGCGCGAGCGAGCAACAAGGAGACGGAGAGCCCCATCCTGGAGAAAAGAACCGAAAAAGCAGCGTGGCGGAGACGGCCCCACGCGGGAGGACTGGCCGGGCAGCGGCGCGTGTGACGGCCTCGGCGGGGAGAGAGAGAGGAGCAACGGCGCCACTCGGCGCGCCCCAAAACTGCGACAGAAGAGGAGGGGGCGGGCGAAGGGAAGAGGGGATTGGAACCCACGTCCCCGGCGCTCTAGACCTTGCGCATGCGTGCGGCAGCACAGCACGGTACCGCCGCGGTACCCACCTGCAGACAGCCGCCCACACAGTGGGGGGAGGCCGCGGGCAAGGCCCGCGCCTCCCCTCCCCTTCTTGCCCTCCTCTCTCTTTCTCTCGGCCCTTGGCGGCGCCTTTCAATGCGGTCTCTTGCTCTCCCCAGGCCGCCGCGCCACCGCATCCGCGGCACGGTTCTGGCAAGGATGAGCTCCGCCCCAGTGGCTCGCTCCGGGAGCAGGGAGCTAGGGAGCACTCCCCAAGTCTGCATTTAGGGGGACGAAGGCCCTGCGCGAGCGGCGACGACGACGACTGCGACGATGATGACGCTCGACGGGCCGCAGGGTAGGGATCGAGGCCGCCTAGGGAAACACTTCCCTCGCCGAACCCCTGACCGCCTTCCCTCCGGGCACCGGCGGGACGCCACTGCTGCCGCCGCCACTGCTGCTGCCGCCCACTGCAGGCGACAGGCCCGGGAGGCGACCCCAGCCGCGCTGCCAGCATGGCCCCCGGATGGCCATTGATCGTCAAGCGATCCTCAGACAGGGGTAGCCCCTAGAGGAACCCGGGGCTGCAAGTGCGTTCGAAGTGTCGATGATCAATGTGTCCTGCAATTCACATTAATTCTCACAGCTAGCTGCGTTCGTCATCGACGCACGAGCCGAGTGATCCACCGCTAAGAGTTGTCTGGCTTTGGGCACCGCTCACGCCAAGCGGCCCCTTTTTTTGTTACTCTGGCACTGAGGATGTGCAAACGCGCGCCTGGCTTTGACCGTACGAGCACTCAGAAACGGAAAGGGAAAAAAAAACAACTGGAGCAACCCACGCTCCGAAGGCCGGCCAAGAGGCGGGGGAGCCTGCACCCCCGACTGCCTCCCCCTGCAAGGGGAGACGCCGACTTCACAATAGCCGTCCTTCGGAGGCGGCCCAGGCGCCCGGGCTCGGCCCGGCCTCCGCGCGGAGGGCCAGGCGGTGCGTGCCGGAACACGGGAGGGTACGGTGGCCCGCCCGCTTCTCGCTTTCACGGGACGACATGCACAACACACACGGCACATGGCCAGGGGCGCACAGCCGTCGGCCCCTGCACGTGCCGGCTCTCCCTCAGCCCCCGAAGCCGCGGGCCTCGCGGAGCACCGCGAGGCCGCTGTGCGGCCGGCTTTTCTCTTCCCCCACTGCACGGCCTTCCCCCCACTCGAGACAGCCCGTGACGACGACTGGCCCCCACCGACGCACCTCCCGCGAGACCGCTCCCCTGCCGGGCGGGCGAGCGACCAGCAGACGCGCTCCGCCGCCGGCCCCGGAGGCGGGGGCCACCGATAGCTGAGCCGGCATCGCCGGCGCCCGAGGGCTGCCGGACGGCAGATCCCGCCCTGCTGGGGCCACACTCCCAGGACCGCCACCACCGCGTCGCACCACCAGGGTGCTTACCTCGGGCACGCCCCCGGCTTAAGGCGGTATGGCATTGAGCCAGGGGGCAAGGCCCACGCTCCTCGTTTACACGCGGAGACCGGGCGGGGAGAAGCACCCCCGTGGCCGCCCCGCGCACCTTCCTGCGGCCCACATGCAGCCGGGAAGGGCGATGGAGGATGCGAGGAGCGGAGCCCGGGATGGGATGGCCGACGGCGGGCTCCTTCCGGCTGACCGTCCCCACAGGGAGGGACACCCATCGAGCGGCGCCACGGCCGCTCAGCACGGGGTCACCTGCGCTCACGGGCCTCTGCCGCCGGAGGGCCCGCCGAGCGCTCGCCCCCACCAGCGGGTGGGCAGTCGAGCCAGGGGACGGCCAGCGGACAACGGCGCTGCAGGTGCGCGTTCGAGAAGAAAAGGCCGTCGAGGGGAGGAGAGGACGCGGCGCCGCGCGCACCAGAGACCGCGGCAGCGGGCCAAGGAGAGAGAGCGATGGTGGGCCCCGGTAGCCGCGACCCCGTGGCCGAGGAAGGGCAGAGAGGGCGCACTCTCTGCTGGTGTCGCCCATTACGGCGAGGCGAGCGGGCCCCCATGGACCATGGAGAGGGGGGTGCAGGGCGCCCCTCCCCAGCGCCGCACGGTTAAACCCCGCGGCGCGCAGCGGGACAACGATGGCAACGGAGGAGCGCAGCCGGTGGCAACGGGACAACCACTGCAGGGGATCAGTGGGAGTAGCTGCTCCCCCCCCCTCAGTGGCACCCCACATGGCCACTGCCCGGCATGCCTGCCGCCACCGGCACCGGCACCGCAGCCACCAACGGTGGGCCGCACCGAGCCGCCGGAGTCTTTAAACCACCATCTGGCCCTGCTGGCCCCTTTCGGCAAACCCGTAGCGTTTCACGACGCCGAGGGAAAAAAACTGGGGGAACCGCCGAGGCGCGGAGCACTAGGTACCTGGCCCCAGGGCGAGGGAAACTACCTGCATGGCCCCGCCGGGGTGTCTCCCCTACTGCTGCCTTTGGGGGAGCGTGCACCGGCGGGGGCACGCCCAACATCTGCCGCCACCGCTGCCACGTCCTTCTTGGAGCCCGGGGTTTCCCTCAGTAGCCCGGTGCTGCGCGCCCAAGAGGACCGCCGTGGCTCGGCGCCCCCCAGCCACCCAGCTCCCTTGCCCTTTCCACCTCGGCCGCGGATGGGTGCCACGGCCAGACGGCCGGCCGTCGCTCGACAGGCGAAGCAGCGAGGGAAGGGATGGGCGCGCCTCCAGGAAGGGGCCGTGCCGAGCACCCCTCCCTCCTGACACCCGTGCGGCTTTCTCGTGCACACGCCGAGGAGAGCCAAGCTCGGGAGAACTCAAGCCGCACCAGGGTGCCCGCACGTGGCACGCCGCCGACCGACGTTTGGCGGCGCCGGCCTCAGCGGCGAGAGGCTCAGGGCCCGTGGCCACGCCCCTGCTCTCTGACGGGGACGGACCGGTGGCAGACCGGTGCAAGGCCGGGTTGGGGGGGTTGGTGTGAGGGGCGGGGGGGACAAGCCGCTGCGACAGCAGCGAGCACATCATGCTACTAGACCCAGCTGTGACGCACGGTGTAGCGCGGGGAGAGCCCCGCCCATGTGCACGGTGGGGGGCGCACGTAGCGCACTTCACCGCACTGAGTGGCTTTACCCGCCTCTCCCAATTCTGACCGCCCGCGCCTGGAGGTGCCGCACGCCTCCAGTCTCTCTCTCTCTGGGGCTGTGGCGCGCGGCGACGGGGAAGGGCGTGTGGGCCCCGGTGCTGACCGGAGCCGGCGGTCAGGGGCCAAGCGTGCGAACGGAGTGGGCGCGCGAATGGCACCGCGTGCATGCGGCCAGCCAGACGGCCTGGCACAACGCGGCTGGGGCCAAGCCCCACCGGTAATGATCCTTCCGCAGGTTCACCTACGGAAACATTGTTACGACTTTTACTTCCTCTAGATAGTCGAGCTCAACCGTCTTCTCGACACTCCGGCAGGGCCGTGGCCGACCCCGCCGAGACCGATCCGAGGACCTCACTAAACCATCCAATCTGTAGTAGCGACGGGCGGTGTGTACAGAGGGCAGGGACTTAATCAACGCGAGCTTATGACCCGCACTTACTGGGAATTCCTCGTTCACGGGGAAGAATTGCAATCCCCGATCCCCATCACAAATGGGGTTCAACGGGTTACCCGCGCCTGCCGGCGGAGGGTAGGCACAAGCTGAGCCAGTCAGTGTAGCGTGCGTGCGGCCCCGGACATCTAAGGGCATCACAGACCTGGTATTGCTCAATCTCGGGTGGCTGAACGCCACTTGTCCCTCTAAGAAGTTGGACGCCGACCGCTCGGGGGTCGCGTAACTAGTTAGCATGCCAGAGTCTCGTTCCTTATCGGAATTAACCAGGCAAATCGCTCCACCAACTAAGAACGGCCATGCACCACCACCCACGGAATCGATAAAGAGCTCTCAATCTGTCAATCCTGTCTGTGTCCGGGCTGGGTGAGGTTTCCCGTGTTGAGTCAAATTAAGCCGCAGCCTCCACTCCTGGTGGTGCCCTTCCGTCAATTCCTTTAAGTTTCAGCTTTGCAACCATACTCCCCTGGAACCCAAAGACTTGGGTTTCCCCCAAGCTGCCCAGCGGGTCATGGGAATAACACCGCCGGATCACCAGTCGGCATTGTTTATGGTCGGAACTACGACGGTATCTGATCGTCTTCGAACCTCCGACTTTTCTTCTTGATTAATGAAAACATTCTTGGCAAATGCTTTCGCTCTAGGCCGTCTTGCGCCGGTCCAAGAATTTCACCTCTAGCGGCACAATACCAATGCCCCCAGCCATCCCTCTTAATCATGGCCCTGTTTCCAAAAACCAACAAAATAGAACCAAAGTCCTATTCCATTATTCCTAGCTGCAGTATACCGGCAGCCGGCCTGCTTTGAACACTCTAATTTTCTCAAAATAAACGCTTTGGGCCCCACGGGACACTCAGCTAAGAGCATCGAGGGGGCGCCGAGAGGCAGGGGCTGGGACAGGCGGTGGCTCGCCTCGCGGCGGACCGCCAGCTCCATCCCAAGATCCAACTACGAGCTTTTTAACTGCAGCAACTTTAAGATACGCTATTGGAGCTGGAATTACCGTGGCTGCTGGCACCAGACTTGCCCTCCAATGGATCCTTGCTCAAGGATTTAAAGTGCGCTCATTCCAATTACAGGGCCTCGAAAGAGTCCTGTATTGTTATTTTTCGTCACTACCTCCCCGGGTCGGGAGTGGGTAATTTGCGTGCCTGCTGCCTTCCTTGGATGTGGTAGCCGTTTCTCAGGCTCCCTCTCTGGAATCGAACCCTGATTCCCCGTCACCCGTGGTCACCATGGTAGGCACAGACAGTACCATCGAAAGTTGATAGGGCAGACATTCGAATGGGTCGTTGCTGCCGTGGGGGCATGCAATCGGCTCGAGGTTATCTAGAGTCACCAAAGCTGCCGGGCGGGCCCAGATTGGTTTTGGTCTGATAAATGCACGCGTCCCAGGAGGCCAGCACTCCTTGGCATGTATTAGGTCTAGAATTACCACAGTTATGCAAGGAGCGGGAGAGGAGAGACCAAAGGAACCATAAGTGATTTAATGAGTCATTCGCAGTTTCACTGTACTGCCCATGTGTACTTAGACATGCATGGCTTAAGCTTTGAGACAAGCATATGCTACTGGCAGGATCAACCAGGAAGCCGCCACCCATGGCAGCGCCGCGAAGCGTCGCGCGAGCACCCAGACGGAGCGCCCGGACGCGCCCGGCCCACCGGCGAACTCGCCCCGCGCCAAACCCCGACTGCCCTGGGCTCCTTTTGCCGCTCCGACCCGCGGGAGCAGCATTGCAGCGAGGCATCCCGCTCGCACCTTCGTCGCAACGCTTCTCGGTGCCGCGGCTTAGGGCCGCGAGAGAAAAATAAAAAGGCCCACGGAGGCCTGGCGGGCGCCCCCCACAACTCCGCCCGCCTCAACAAAAAGCAACGGAGCCGGCGCGGCAAACCCAGCCCCGCCCGGCATAAGCGGCTCAGTCGATCCGGCCACGACCAAGGTAGGCGAGGCACCGCGGCCTCGCCCAGGACCAGTCTGGGGGGCTCTCTGTTGGGTGCCAGGCCCATTAAAAAAAAAAAAAAAACTGGGCCAAAAAATTCTGCCCGCCACAACGCGGGTCCCTGGCTTAAGGCCGAGGAAGGGCGACGGCTTCAACAACGCAGGCCGGGGACCACCGCCGTCGCCGAGGCGGACCGACAGGCCCAAAACAACAGCAAATGATTCTGGAGCAGAGGAATTGCTTGGAGAAAACTCTCCCCTGCTCTGTCTGGGCAATCCTTAACCAGTGTGTTACATGGCCCTTGCTGCCAATTTGTTGCTCAACAGTGTGATAGATGAATCTGATTCGTGCTAACAATTGTAACTATATTTTAAATATTTTAGAAAATATTTGTTAAAAAGTAAGAGAGGAAAAGGATATGGAATTAGTGTCACAAAACAGATGTTTTCAGATGTTCATGAGAAAACAGGATGCAGGCTGTAGTTTGAGATAAGTCACATCCCAAAAGGCAATAGGCCTCAGGATAATTAAAGAATCGGCCTTGAAATGCACAAAATTGGGATGATTCCAGGTATCTATGAAATAATAAGGCTTCTTTTTGGAATATAATGCTGGCTTCTATACCACAAGACTTGGGGTGCATGTGCAGCTTGTGGGGTTGTTCAAAGGACAGTGATGATGAGGAGAAGCCTTCGTGGGAAGCGACCACCAAAATCAAAAGACCCCTTAGAAACAAGCGGAGCATGCACTGTGCAGTATAGTGACATAGATTTCAAGAATCAAAAATAAGAGGACATTGACAAAAAATTATTGATGAATATGTATTAGCATCCAGTCTAGAAGTTGTGATTGGATTCTTTATCTTTTGAATGGGAGGCAGGGTGAGAAAACCCCCCTGTATCCTGACTGGTTTTGCTTATGCTTTATCCAAACCACTGCCAAATTATTTTGGATCTGCTTGATTATATTTGATTGCATGATTTCATATAAAATTGCTGCTCAATTAAAATTGCTGCTCAATTCTAATGTTGGTTTATTAAATTAGACATATAGGGACCTCATTCATAACAACAGCCCACCTCAGTCACCTACCCGTTGGGACTGTGCTTTCTACTGAGCCAGTCCTGCCAGAAAAGCAGCTTTAAACACACCTCTAAGAAGGCACTGATCCAGATAAAGCACATCCATTCCCCTCTGCCCAGGGCCAGTCCCCTGTACATCTGGCAGCCTGCAAAATCTAACACCCCCTCAGGGTCCAACACATTGTTCCAGCCCAAAGCATAAAGGCAATTTGTTTTGTTAAATCTAAAGTAATTCCTGCAGGTCCTCGGCCTTCCAAGGCCAACGCTGCCACTCCAGAGGGAATCCTGTGACCCCGAGCATTTGATGGTGACCACACCAAAGCAAGAGGTGGCTCCTTCAGCAGGAGAATGGCACATGGCAATGCTGTGCCTTTGTGTCCCCAGCCTTCCCCCCATGGTTTCAGCAATGGCAGCTACACTTAGGCAGCTTCAGCAGAGCTTATTTGTGGTGGCTTAGTGCAGATCAGGACTCCCAGTCCACCTCTAACAGCAGCTTGCAATGACAACAGGACCTGCACACTGAGGTCTTTTGCTGGAGGCAAGCCTGTCACAAGCACACACCCTCTTCAAACTTCCCATCAAACAGAAAGGAGAAGAGCAGGAAAAGGCTACCTTTGGACCAGTCTTCCCCAGCTCTACACATGGACCAATTCTGGGTAGAAAACTCCCGCCAGTGCTGGCCTTCTTCTTCATGTTGAGAAACTTCTCCCACAGGAACTTAGAGGGAAGCAGCTGAAAGGCAAAAATAAACCAGCTAGAGCCTCAGAGTTGGGCTTGTTCAGAAAGGCTTTGCTTGAACAAGTGGCACTGGAGAACAATTTGTGGTCACATTGCCCAGGACAGTCCTGGAAGCCCTGGAAGTTGCTTGCTGAAATACTCAGCACCAATAAATTAACAATACAGAGTGCAATACACATACTCCAACCACATGGCTCTGTCCCATCAGCTTCTCCGTGATTGCATGTGACATGGTTGGGGATTTCTGCTCTTTGGGCATTTCTTTCCTCTTTAGGTTCATTGGATTGAGGCAGTGACCTTTTCAAAGAATGGGGATGAGCTCTCAGAACTGCCCTGACTCCATCCCTGTACAGCACTGAGAACTCACAGCAAGGAGATAGCACTGCTGGGTGAGTCCAAGAGAGGCAAGA